TATCTGTTTAAAGCACATGTTTAGGCAATGAATTAATGCCTTGGGTCTTTGAGTTTATTAACAAGAATTGAAATATCTTTAGGTGTAAATTACACCATCCTAATGTTTTCACTACAGGGTCTTCACATGTAGCACAGCCAGATCGACTTGTTTTCCACAGCTCTGGACTCTGCTCTTTCTTTTCATATGTCGTCATTTTTTATAGATGACTTTCCCTTTAGCTATAACACAGTCAATTAGCTCATGGTGGCCTCCAAACTGGTAAATCAAATGCTCCCACCTAAAAAGAAATGTAAAAATTGCATCAATGCACACAGCCAAAATTGCATTTATCAATAAATATTAACTGAAAAACACACTGTCCCCAAATTTATTTATACCTAATCATTTGTATTTAGATTTAAAAACATATATAATTCACTGCTTGATGATTGGTCCAACCATGTTTCATAACATCATTTAAGTATTTGATTTTAAAATATTTGGTTCTCTAAGTGATGTACAAATGGAAACATCAGTGTGTTCATTTCAACAGAGGGAGTGGCTTATGACTACGGAGTGTAGAATCATGGACCTGCTCCTGTTTTCTGCTGAACATGAATCCCAAGAGCTGTCTGTCTCTGTTCATTAGCATCAAGGAACCATAGGACTCACAGTTCTAGAGCCAGATTAATGAAGTCCTGAATTATCACATTGGAGGCCCAAGTGGCAGCAAACCATGGAACAGTCATGAGAAACCAGAACAGGACAACAGAAGCAAGGTTATTGGCTAGGCAAGGCGAAGTCAGAAAGGCCTAGGAGTCAGAAATGACCAGCGTGGGAAGCCCGCACTGGGACATGTGTAGCCTAAAGGAAGCAGAAGGTCAGAAGCCAAGTGGAAAAACAAAAAGCTCAGGCCAGAAAGCACAAGTCCGAAGTCCAGGTAAACAGTCAGGACAGGCAGGTCCCTGGAGGTCTATGAAGGCTGTAAGGTGGATGAAAAGAATGGAAACCACCCACTTTCCTGGGGGCACAGTGGTGAAGCACCAAGCTGCTAAATAAAAGGTCAGCAGTCTGAACCTTCCAGTGGCCCTTCGGGAGAAAAGACTTGGCCATCTGTCCCCATTGATTACATAGAGTTCAGATTACCCTGGGGGTGGGGGTGGGGAGTTCTACTTCATCTTGCAACACTGCTATGAATCAGTCAATTCTTAGACACAAAACAACAGGGAGACATTCTGGTAGGAAAGGGCGCAGATGGCCTGGGCAGTTTATGAACCTGCATGGACCCCAGCGCTAACAATGAGCAGGAAGGGGGGTTAAACCAAGCCTACATCTTATGAGAGGCATGAGATAGCCACGTTGGGAAGAGCTCACCTGGAGGAATTGATGATAACAAAATCTCCCTGTTTGCCAACTTCCAGAGATCCATGCATGTGAGACTTCCCCAGGGCATAGGCTGCATTGATGGTAGCCGCAGCCAAGGCCTCAGGCATGGACATTTTCATGTTGACACAGGCCAAGTGCATGACCATTGGCTAACGGGGGAAGGAGAAAGTAACAAGGTGGTAACTGCAGCTTCGGACCTGTCTCAACACTGCACAACAAATCGTGTTCAC